ACACACACACACACTTGTATACAGTGATATAGATAGATAGAGAGAAAGAAATATCAAAAATAAAATTCTTAGAAGTGTAAAATCCAACTTATTTTGTGGATATCGTACTCTCTCTCTCTCTCTCTATTTCTTTCTTTTTCTCTCTTTCTATTCAGTTAAGTGAGAGTCATTCATGGAGAACTACACTTTATGTGGGAAGATTGGGGATGGTGCTGAGGGTGTTGTATTTAATGTGAGGCATAATCCGACAAATAAGGGATTCGCTATGAAAGTGGTTCGTTGTGCAGATCATTCTAAAGTAAATAAAGCCCTTGAAGAGATTAAAGTTCTTTTACAACTTCGTCATCAACATGTTGTCTCGTATGTAGATTTCTTTCTTATATTTCCTAATGATGAAGTAAAACAAGAATTTACCATGGCAAGTAAAAATGATACGAAATTATCTTATACTGGACCAAACTGTCGTATGTATAGTACGAATAGTCTTCCTACTGGTACTAAACCTGAGAATGATACTATGAACAGTTCTAATGTCTTTTGTATGAATCCCTCTGAAGTCTGTGTATGTCTTGTAATGGAGTTATGTACATATGGAGATATGCAAAGTATGATACGGGATGCTAAACAACGTTTTATGGAAAATGGAAGACATCCCATTACAGAGGCACAAATTCTTTCTTGGATGGAACAATGTGCCTCTGCACTTTCCTTTATTCATGAACAAGGATTTCTACATCGAGATTTAAAACCAACCAATATTTTCTTTGATAATTACAAGGATGTAAAAATTGGTGATTTTGGTCTTGCAACTGCAGTTGGTATGGGTCGTCAGAGTATTGTTGGAACTCCGTTATATTTAGCCCCTGAACGTATGTTACACCAATTATATGATGAAAAAGTAGATGTTTGGGGTTTAGGCGTTGTGATGTTGGAATTAGTAACACTTTGTGATCAACCCATTAACAGTCGAGTTTTAGAAAATCCCCTGGTGGTTGAGAAAGTAGTGGAACAAGTTATTTCTATGGGATTTTCATCTAAACTTGGTGGACTTTTACGGGATATGCTGCAGCGATTTCCCGAAGGTCGTCCCTCACCTGCCGCTATTCTCTATCGACTCGCTGGCATGACAACAACAACACCAACAACAACAACAACAACGATATCCCCCAATCAATGCTGTGGAATATCTATTCCAAGTATTTCATTAGGGATGAGTTGTCCTAAATTACCCAATATCTTATGTGAATTATGTGAAGTAGAATCAGCAGTTTCAGCGTGTACAAATTGTAGTGCAGTTCTTTGTGAGGCTTGTGATCGGGCGCGTCATAAACATCATACTCGACAAGGGCATGAACGTAATTCATTAAGTCTTTTACGTTGTAGTCAATCTACCAAACCACATGTATTAACGGATCTTGACTCCAATAGCCTACCACCTTTAAAACGAAAACCAAATAATTGTAGTGCTAGTAATACTTTTTCACGTTTTGTATTTCCAGTTTTTTCTTCCGCTGGAGGAGGAGGAGGGAATTCTATTTGTGGAACTTCTATTACGGATCAATCGAGTAGTATTTTATTAAGAAGTATGAATACTGTCGCTATTCGTGTCCCTCAAGATTGTCCTACCATTACAGCTGCCTTAACAACAGTCCAACATATGCCGCATATACGTAAAATAGTAGTTTCAGGTAATACTATTCATAAAAATCCACTTATTTTGGGAGATCATTTACCAGATAATATAAAACTTATTGGTGAAAATCCATCTCCTGTTATTGAAGTAGATGATGTTTCTTCTGCTATTACATGTACTTCAGGACGTGGAACGATTGAAAATTTTATTATACGTCATGCTGGTAGAAAATCCTCAGCGGCGGAATCTCAAAATTCTGAAAAAGTACAAAAAAAGTCTACACGCCCTATTGCTGTTTCTATCAATGGAGGAGAATGGAAAATTACAAAATGTCGTATTTCATGTTGTATTGGTAGTGGTATAAGTGTAGCGGCGGATGTGGAAGCTGTTATCTCTCACTGTTTAATTCTTCAAGTGAAAACTGCCGGTATTGTCGTCTTGGAAGGCGGTAGAGGATTATTTGAGAAGAACTCTTTCACCAACTGTGATTTTGCCGCCTTTTTACTTAAAAAAAAGAGTTCCGCACGAGTTCGTGGAAATCATATCACTGAAGGAGCCGAAACGGGTATATTTTGTCAAGATGCCTCTGGTCTTGTGGAGGATAATTTTATCGCCAATAATGGAGGATGTGGTGTGGTCACCAAAGGGACGGATGCTAATATTATTTTTCGTGGAAACCGAATAGTGGGGAATGGACAAGCCGGATTTTTCTGTTGTGATGGTTCCTCTCCTATTATTTCCGATAATGATATTAGACAAAATAATCGTGCGGGTATTCTCATTAAAACCCGTGCCTCACCTAAAGTAACGAAAAATACTATATCTTGCGGAAAAGAGGCGGGTATTTACGTATTTGAGAATGGAGCCGGTCTTATTGAATGTAATGAATTAACAGAAAACAGTAATGCAGGTATTCTCGTTACTACCAATGGTAATCCACATGTGGTAAGGAATAGTATTCGGGGAAATCTTTATGAGGGTGTTTGGATTTGTAAAAATGGTGGGGGAATCTTTTGTGAAAATGATCTCCGTGATAATAAAAAAGGACCTAAAGATATTGAGGATGATAGCTCCATTGTCTGGATTGGGAACCGTGAATCATGAAATGAATGCAAAAAGAAAAATAATTAATAATAGTAATAATAATAATAATAATAATTTATTTTTAAACCTAAAGAAATAAATGAAAAAAGAAAAGAAAATATTTATTACAGTTATTTACGTTTTTTTTTTCTTTTTTGTATTCATAGGAAAATGGAATACCTCCATATAGATAGGTTTGCCATTCTTTTTCCCTTTTGAAAAAGAAAAAATAAAAAGAATCAATTTAAATAATAGAGTAAAATTAGATTTTATATGCCAAGAGGGAGATGGCCAGAGCCATACAATTTTACTTGAAACAGATTCAAGTATGAACATTGATTCGTTCAAGCTTTCTTTCTTTTTTTTTGTTACTGTTCAACTCACACGTATTTTTTTTATATATTTGATAGATATTACTACTATTACTATTGCTATTGTTGTCATTCACGTTTGACAAATCTGTATACATTAGATTATGATTCTTGTTTGGGGGGTGTTTTCTCTCTGTGTGTGTTCATTTAAAGCAGCAGGAAAACAAATTTCTACTCAATCAAGGCTTTGTAGAATAAATTTAATAGATGCACATGTGAAATATCTTTCACTTCGTTGCCTTCATGTTTTGAGCTTTTTGATGATGTTATTTTTTTTTTCTTTGTTTTCTTTATTCGTATTTGTGTGCAAGTGTGAATCTGCACTCCTCATGTGTGTAGGAATTCGTTTATAAAGTACCAGATCTTCTAAATTCTACTCTGTGATTTTTTATTTTTCGTTCATTATCCGAATGGTTAATTGCGGTCTAAAAAATATTTCATGTGAATTTGAGGCATTTTTTTTCTTTGTTTTTGTTTTTCTCTTCTCATTGTTTGGGATTTTTGCTCTACGAAAATCCACAGAAAAGTAGTGAGAAAGGGGAATAAAATGTCTTTTCTTGATTAGTCGCATGTGCAAACTTCTGTCAGTGTTTTATTATTATTATTATTATTATTATTATTATTATTATTATTATTATTATTATTATTATTTTCGTTGATTTCATTGTGAATGATATATATGTGGATAATCGGTAAAAAAGAAAAAAAAAGAGAATTATTATTTTACTAGGAAAAGGGAATGGAGATCAAAAAAAGGAAATAGAAGAAGAGATAAAATAACAAAAGGAAATCCGTTGAAAAGGATAACAATCTTCTTTTTTGTTGTTGTTGTCGCTATTTCTATGAGATGCGGCTTTGATGCTCTTGTTATTGTTGTTTTCTTTCGCTTTATATACGGTTTGTGTATATTATTAATATTTTTTATTTTTATTTACTTTTCCCTCACTCTTCTTTTTTGGATAATTACATTGGTTTAACTATAGGAAAGGGAGGGAAGGGGACGAATTAAAAGGGGAAAAAAAAGAAAGGCGTAAGGCGTTTGTTGCACTTGGTTCTTGTTTTCCTTCTTTCCGTTGAGGCTTTATTATATATATATATATATATATATATATATATATATATAATATGCGGCAGTGTTTAAAGACTTCTGTGATGATTGCCGGGTGGAGTCGACGTTTTTACATCCGCCGACCCTCCGCAGCCGCTGCCCGCCTCGCCGCCTCTCATTTGAGTCTCTCAAGTCTCTCTTCCGATTTTGTGGATTTGGGCCTGGACGAGGAGGAGAAAGATGGGAGAAGTGTTCACAGCGGCGGAAAAGAGGAATCCGTGCTTGGCGTTATTCGGGAGCCGGAGGTCCCGGAAGGGCAGGAGTACTCAAGACTTAATATACCACTCACACAATCACGAAAGGAGAGAATGGAACTGCGTCCGAATAGCCGTAGTGCTGTTTCTCCACTTGATGGATCAATTTGTGTATTAAATAATAATAATAATAATAATAATAATAATAATGGGGTTAGTACAATGGATAATACTGGCAATAGCAACAATGGTAGTAGTAGTAGTAGTGGTATTGGTGCTTCTGTTAATAATGATCATGATGTTAGTGGTGAGGACCAACCGCTTCCATATGATGATGAGATTTTTGCCGAGATGATTCTTGGAATGGAAGTGGATGGAGCCATTGATGAAACTTGGCAAGATGCCGATAAAGCTCTTATAGAAGATGTTGAAGAAATTGTAGAAGTATTGCGTTCCCTTAAAGTTCGCGATATTTGTGCCATAGATGTTTCATCTAAAACGAGTAACTTTGATTATATGATATTTGGATCTTGTGAGGGACCAAGACATATTCACTTGGCGGCATGGGCAGTGCAGGAGGCGGACTCTCAAAAGCGAATTTCAAAGATTAAACGCAAACAGTCAGATCACACATGGGAGGCGATACCAGTGGGTCGGATAATAGTAAATCTTATGCAAGAATCTCTTCGAGAGGAACTTTCACTAGAGCGTAAGTGGACCGTAACGAAATCTATGGATCCACTTAATATGGCAAATGCCCCAGTAAGTGAAGGACGACAAGTACGAGCTCATGGATTATGGACATTGACTCTAAATTTACAGGATTTAGAAGATTTTGAAGTTGATTATTGCAAGGATACTTTGATGCGACAGCTATAGCTTTTAACGTACAGAATTCTTATTTCACTTATGTTTTTTGTTTCTTCTTTTTTTTCTTTTTTTTCCTCCTTTATTTCTTTCTTTTTTTTTCTGTAGCTCCAGTGCAGAGCTTGGGGAAAAAAATGAAAGAAAGAAAGAGAGTGAGAAAAGGAAGAGAAACTGAGTCACGTGGTTTCATATTTTACCCCCTATATGATATCCAGTGTTCTCTTACTCACATGGTGTGTACTCCTTGTTGTTGTTGTTGTTGTTGTTGTTGTTGTTGTTTTTTAATTTATTATTGGAAGTGGTTTTGTTAAAGAAATTCATCTCGATGGATGATAATTGTTTTTTTCTTTGTTTATATTTCTGAATTTTGTGATATTTTAATTCTGTTTTTTTTTTTTTTTTTTTTTGTTTCCTTCTTTTTTTTTAAAAAAAAAAAAATACACTGTCTCTCTAGTTAAATAAATTGGCTAGTGACGATGGGCCCTGAGGAGGAGGAGGAAGAGGAACGAGAAGCGAGGAATTATCCTCTTCATAGTGGGATGAAGAGTGGTGAGGTGGGTAAACCGCCTCTTAGTACTCCACCATTTGCACAGATTCGGGAGGAAACTCTACGAAAACAATCAGCAACTCATCGACTTCTTAAACATGTTATGAATGAGGAAGAGAAGGTGCGAATAAAAGAGGCATGTTTAGAGAGACTTCTTATAGAAAAAAAAGAATTGGAAGAAAGACTTAAAGTCTCTACTAGTATGTTGCCAAGTAATAAAGATATTACATCAATGAAGAGACGTTTAGAAAAGGCTCGTCAAGGCAAACGAAGGGCGGCAAATAAAGTAACAGATTTGGAAGAATTTCTCACGATAGCGGATAAAGCGTCTAAAATGAGAGGTTATGGTGATTCAAAACAACGACGATATCTTTTTGAATTAAAACAATCTATTCGTCCTCTCAAGACGGAAGTTATTTCTCTTAGGAAACAATTTCAGAAAATGAGTAAAGATGGATATGATACAGATACCTCTAAAGTTTCATCATCATCTTTACCTGTACAAGAAAAAATCTCCACTGAAAGTCGTAGAATGGATAGAAATATTGAAAAATTAAAAGAAGAAAAGATTGAATGTGAAGAACGTTTAAGGGTAGCAAGTGATGCCTTATTCAAAGCTACAGAGCGTGAAGCTAAAGTTGCTCAAATGTTAGCATCTTTAGAGAGGAAAACTATGAATAATTCATATGGATTAACTCCAGAAGATAAACCTATACAAAATAATAATAATAATAATAATAATAATAATAATAATAATAATAAAACACCTCCATTAATTACTGGAAATGATGTTGATTTATTTCCCCCTCCTCTTGATTCAGGTACTTCAATTGCTGTCTCTATGAGTCGACAACCTGGAACAGATGTACCTTGTAAAAGAGCTATACAGTCTCGTAATGGTAGTAATAATACTAATAATTCCTTTTTTGAAAACTATGAAGAAGATAAGAGTGCCACCTTTTCAACAAGGTGTAAAAAAGAAACTCGTCTTAATGGGTACACTGAAAAGGAAATGTTGGTGCAGGAAGTGGAACAGTTAGCTTTAGAGTACGCCCGAATAAAGCGTCGTATTAAAAAAAAACAAGAAAATCTTTTGTAGGTAAATCAAAAGATCTCTTCTTTGTTTTTTTTTTTTTAAAAAAAAAAACGCATTACATATGCCTTCATATCTTTCCTTTCCTTTTTTCTTTTATTCCGTTTTTTTTTTTTTTTTTTTTCTTTCATTTTATCTGTCTTTTGTTTTTTCTGTTTTTGTACTCATTTATCTTTTTTTTTTCAGTGGAATCAGTTTGATGTCATGACCTTATATTATTAGCAAAAACAATATATATATATGTATAGTAAATACACTTCCTTTTTCGTTTCTTTTTTTTTTCTTTATTTATTGATGAACTAATTTTTTTTTTCTTTATTCTTTTTTTTTCTCAGAATTTAATTGTTTATCTTATACACCTACCATTCTTTCTCTTTTTTATTTATTTTTATTTTCTTCTTCTTGCCTCTCATGATGGTAAACCTGTACTTCTTATTGCACAAAATAGAAAGGGAAGAAAGAAAAGAAAAAAAAAGAATAATAATAGAGTTGAAAAGAAAGGAGTGATTGTGTTGTAGTTGTATTATTATTTCTCTTGAAAGTAAAAGAAAAAAAGAAAATATGAGTGATTTATGGCGTGTCTTTAACGAAAGACTTACTTCAGCAGGTTATACTCTAAAAGATTTAATTGGGAATGACAGTCTTTTTCAAATTGTTGCTGAAGAAATTTGTGGGTTTGCCCCTCAGCAAGTAAATGAACTTTTCAAGGAATGTAAAATGTATGAAAGAAAAGGAGGAAAAGTTGGAAATATTCCTCCTATTATTTCTTCTTCTTCTGGAGTTGGTGAAAATAATGAAGTCTTATTAAATGTTCCTCCACGTACGACGGCACCATCTGGTTTCTCAGTTGAACCTTCCACTACTTCTCAACAAGGAGTTTTACATACTTATCCTACAACTGTGGTACTTTCACGGGCAGGTACTTTTCTTCGTCATGTAAGTGGAAATGATACTTTAATTTCTCCTCTAGAAGTAACAGAGATTCCACGTTCACGTAAATTAATGCAAAGTTTTCGTGAACGATTAGCGGCCATGCATAAACCTGTAGGTAGTATAGAACTCTTATGGAAATTTTGTAGTCCAAAAATGTTAGATAATTTAAAGAATGGTTACCAATTAAAAAATTCAGATGATAAGGATTTATTATGTTCTAGTGGAATTGTTCTTTATCGTGATAATGGAACTGCAGCACAATTTCTTCAAGAACCTTTAATGCAGTTAGTACGTCAAGGTTGGTCTCTTGTTGCATTTGATACCGCTGTTGGTAAATCTCGTCGTCTTGAAGAAGAAGAAATTCGACTTTTACAACACTTTCCTATGGAAGAATGTTTTAATTCTCTTAATAATGATGGTTATGATAGTATTCGAGTTATTCCTTGTAATGCTTTTGTGGTATTTCATCGTGATCAACTTATTCCTCGTTTTGCTGTAAGTATTCAATCACCTGATATTCGTCAATTGAATTATTCCAATATAGTGAATAGTGTAGATTCTTCACGAGAGCAAAATTCTTTTAAAAAAGTGGAAAAGGATGAAAAAAATGATATTTATTATTCTAATTCTTCTTCTTTACCAAGAGTTATGAAAGATCAATTACAAGCTTTAAATAATTCTGAGGATAAAACTTCTGAACCTTTTAATAATAATAATAATAATAATAATAATATTCCATTTATTTGTCATAAACATCAGGGGAAAGAGGTAGAATTTTGGTCACCAGAAGAAAAAAGATTACTTTGTAGTCATTGTTTATTTTATGAAGGATATGGTAAAGAAAATTGTGTTTTGGTGGTAGAAGCCCTTAAAGATGAAGCTCAAAAACTTGAGCAATGGGTACAAAACGCTTTAACCTTTACAAATGAAATTGGAACTGTAACTGAACTTTTCCATTCTGCTGAAAAAGATATTAATCGTAATGAAGAAGAAAGAAGAGAAGAAATTCGTGAACAATTTAAACGTATTCATACAAAATTAAATTCTTTAGAAGGAGATTTACTTGCCCAAGTAGAAAATAAAAGTGGACAACAACGTCATATGTTACAAAACTGTTTTAATAATGTTCAATCTATTGTTCATGAAGTAAAACGACTTATAGATGATGCTAAAGGTCCACTTTCAAAATACAATTCTGGAATTACGGATTACAAAACAGCAGTGGCATTATTACGAGTTACGCAGTCCGCTTTTACTGAATGGCGTCCAGTTCCTATTCCCATGTATTCTGTTGTAAGCGGTTGGAATCGTGATATTTTAGGAGAGATGGAAGCTCTTTTAGAACCCGTGAGCGCTATAGAAAACGAGGGACAAGTAGAGTTACCAGAAGCTGTAGATGTTAACTACCTCAAAAACTAGAGTGAGGATGTGTGTGGGGAGGTTTGGTTCTCCGAAACTCATCGCTTGATTTATGATTTTTATTATTATGATGATG